GATGGTATGTGTGTGTGTATTAACTCTAAACGTTAGTTATACTTGTTTTAAGCATAATTGATCTAATTGAAAAAATGATTAAAGAGATGAGTTCCTTTTTCCTTATATGACCACGTATGAACCTAATTTTCTTTAACTTTATTTAATGCGTTTTCGTTTTCCTGTCAAAAAAAATTATAAAAAAAAAAAGAAATATCTTGCTTGCAATTTTAGTGGATAAAGATATTCAAGCTAATTTGGAGACTGTATGTATTTTCTACATGTTACATCCCCTGTATTTTATTTGTTAATGTGAAATATACATTATATACATTATATACATTACATGTTGATCACTTGTTTTGTTGACAATCCCTCACATTTACTTGATTTGGAACATAGAGGCAAGTGTTTTTCTTGCTACTTGTAGCTATTAGGTGTGAACACTATAACCTTTTCTACATTACTTTAACAGTTTTTTTGTTCTTTATAAGTGTTGATTGTGGAAAGAATGAAGAGGGTATCGTATCAGCTAGAGAGTATTATTATTATAGGTTTCAAATAAGAGATAGTGATGAGTCGATGCTACTGTACTGTCTTAGACTACTACAACAGTTTTCGGTTGATTCTTATGTCAAGATAGAAACTTCTAGTCTGGACTTTCATAGACAACGATAAATTGATACAATGGCACTAGTACAAAATACTGTAAACCAGACATTTTTCTTACATGACCTGCAATCTAGCATGGAAAGAAATTCAGTCCAATTTGAAGTATCACGAAAAGCCACAGGATAGACCTGATATTTTATCTAGAGTTTTTAGAACTAAATTTGAAATGCTTAAGCATGAACTTTTGAATAAGCAAATTTTTGGTGAGGTGGCAACATGTGTCTATGTCATTGAGTTTCAAAAATGGGGATTTTCACATGCTCATTTGCTACTCATTTTAAAGCCATAGTTTAAGTTACTAAATCCAAAGTCATATGACAGAGAGGTCTGCGCTGAATTACCTGATCGTGTTCAATATCCTCACATGTACTCTCTTGTTGTAAAACATATGATTTGTGGTCATTGTGGAGACATGGATAAAATTTGTCCTTGTATAAAAGATGGTGCCTACAAGAATCACTATCCAAAAAAAATTTTGCCCCATACAACTCATGGTAAGGATAGTTGCCCATATTATAAAAGAAGGAATGTTGGTAGAAAAGTAAAAGTTCACAGATTTACCCTTGATAATAGGTGGGTTGTGCCTTACAACCCCTATCTTCTTGCTCTGTTCGATTGTTACAAGAACGTGGAGATTTGTTCTACCATTAAGCTAGTCAACTACTTGTATAAGTATGTGTTTAAAGGGCATGATTTGGTTTGCTTTAAGATTATGACAGATGATAGCGCTATTGATATTGATGAGATTAAAGTGTTTCAAAACGTAGATATATTTCACCTCCAGAAGCATTTTGGCGCATCTATGAGTTCTATTTAAATGAGATGACACCATCTGTTTATGCTCTCCAAGTTCACCTTCCAAATCAACAGCTTGTATCTTTTGACAGGAACTCAGATCTACTACAATTGTTAGCAAAAGCTGACTTTTCAAAAACCAATGCAACTATTGCTAACTGAATTTTTCAAAATGAATGCAACCAATGCAATAGCTGAAAATCTTAAATGCTTTATAGATATTTCCCTTAGCATTTTGTTTGGTCTTCTAAGTATAAGCACTGGACAGAAAGAAAGCATTGAAAAGTAATAGGTAGATTCGTCAATGTTAATCCAAGATAGGGAGAAAGGTACTCTCTAAGACTTCTCTTAATGTATATTCGTGGACCGATTTCATTCGATGATCTCTTGACTGTCAATGATAAAAAGATGAATTCGTTCAGAGAGGCACTACAAGAAAACGGGCTTTTTGCAACGCTTTTGCTGTGGCACAAGGATCAAGTGCGGTAAATAAGCAGCAAATTTCAATTTGTGCTGCAACTTTCACAACGGTTTCTAATTTTTACATAAAAACGACATAGTTTTAATAAAACCCATAAAAGGGCACTTGGAAAGGTTAAGTGTCTTTTTCTTGATCTTTTGTTCCGGGTCGTGTAATGCTTAAAGACTGAAGAATAAATTCTGACCACGTGAGAAGGACATAGTAATCACTTTCTGTGATTGGCTTAAGATAGCCTTGACTTGCTAAAGACAGAAAACATCCTTTTTTGAACCAATATTCAGATCTTAACTCCGTACGTCGTATATTACCCACCTCACAATATTCAGATCTTAACTCTCCAAAGATCGAATTCTTCAAACTTATCTTGGTGGACCGAATTCTTCAAACTGTTATAGGTCAGATACATAGACCGAATTCTTCCGCTCATCCAAAACCACTGCAGTACGCAGCTCGGATAAGAGTTTGTCAATTTTTTCACCATCTCTGCTTCAAATATAGCAGAAATCAAAAGCTCTTACGCCATCACTATTACAGAGAAAAAGGTAAAAATTCTTCCATATGATTTTCGATTTCTATGTTTTTTCCCTCGTATGTCTTTGTGACCTGCACTCTTCTCTGAATTTCGGTTAATAAGATTTGGCACAAAACCCTAATTTGATTGGGCAAAGTAATTGGTCCTCTGTTGATTCTGAATTTTGTCAACCACAGTTGTCGAAATTCCTACAGCTGAAAGCTCGAACAAATTGACCCAACCATTTGAGTCATTGACTTCAAAAATTAGGTCTCGCGGCAACTAGAAGAGTCTGCCCCACTACAGCCCCTGTTCGTTGATATTGGTGTGTTCATGTAAGTGTTTCTTGTAATTTAATGTAATGCGGATTATGAATCTGCATCCTTCATTCTAGTTGATGGGTAATATATGTTTTCCTTGTTTATATGTCCGTGAGCTCATTTTACCACTATTTATCACGTTTAGCATCTGACAAATCCAGACCCTTCTAATAGATACATGATTTAACTTTTCAGTTTTTCTTTTGCCATTAATTGTTGGCATCTGCATTTTGACTTGCTGTTTAGCATCCACAGATTGTGTACTTTATGATGGCTATAACTTCTGACCCCTATTATCTATTGAGAAATGCTGGTATCCCTAGTAGGGAACCTTGCTGTTTCATCCTTTGGCTGTATTTTCTCATCTGAAGACTTTATCTGTGACCTTAACTTTTAAAAGATTCATGCGATGAATATATCTTGCTCAGATGCACTCATATCTGTGGTCATTATAGATTTTATTGAAAGGACAATTACTGGACTTAAAATTGTCTTTTAGTTACTTCAGTTATGCATGTGTGTTTGTCTTTCAGTGTGTATTATCTCATTTTTTGTTGCTGGGAGAGATCATATTTCCTGAATTGCAGAAAAGTATAATGAGGTTTGAAAATGCCATTATTATAAGTGGTGAACAAATAAAAGTAGATAAGTTCTTGTACATAGTTGAACAGCAATCTAACTATCTGAATTGCCCATAACCATCATCTGCCTAGCAATTGTAGCTTGCTAGCAATTAAATGTTCTACCAAGTTGCAATTAGGAATTTGTAAGACAATCTAGCTCCCCTGATTTATCTATGTTTCTTTTTCTTGCAAACAGAACACTGGTTTGCATATTGACATAAATTCACCACATTCTTTTGGCATTGAGAAGTTGGGTTAACTGTTAACATCGCATTCCACTATGAGCATAGCAAACTGGGATGCACATGCTGCACTTTATTTTTTATTTTTCTGAGGATAGTAATGTTTCATGGGTTAGGGAAGGTGTTGATGGAGTTATACTTGATGCACAAACTACAAAATCCAAGGCACACGTTGCTGAAGTTGATGATGGATTCTTCTCTGATGAGGATAATCTTGGGATTGACAATATGATTGATGATACAAGTGATGATGATGATTTTTTTGATAAAGCCCAACAAGGAGACAAGGCTGATGATTGACTCTAATTTTGGAATATAATCCTAACAATTTGTTATATGAAGTTTAGATATGCCAATATTAGATGAAGTTACTGATTAGTATGAAAAATATTAATTGTGGGATCATTTTCACTGCCTTGGATGTCAATTTATAATTCCTTATGTTCATATTAGTCTCCTTGATAACCTGCATTCTACTTCTTTTTTTAGCAGGTTGGTAATGCTGGATTTACCTTATGTTCAATTTATGATTCCTTATGTTCATATTAGCAAGTTGGTAATGTTGGTTTCATTGGGTTATAGTTCCTTAATATGTATATGTTCTTTGTGTTTGCAGATTTTAGAAACTTAAACTCCAAAAGTAAGATGATACAACACTCTCTTTGCCTTCAAAATTAATCATCTTACTTAACTTTGCCTTCAAAAATCAGAAGCTGCTTTTATAGGTTTTCCATGGCACCAAGTAAGAAGGGGCCCCGCAAAGTTGTTGGGCCAATGTCCGGAGCGCATATTGAGTCCACTAATAGTTTGAACCCTGCACTACAGTCAAGCTCTCAATCTTATCAGACTTGCCCCAGTCATTATTCAAAGCCTCCAGCACATAAGTTCATTGGGGCAATGCCTGGAATACGCATAGACCCTACATCTAGCTCAAACTCTGTTTCTCGACCTAATTGTCAAGCGAAATCACATGACTCCAATTCAAATTCAAACTCAGCTTCTAGCTTTATTGCTGCTTCTCAGTTCAACTCTAAAGCCAATTCACATCAGTTGAACTCCAAGGCTGATTCTCAACTAAATTCCCATCCTAATTCACATATCCGTCAAGGCTTTCATTCTCAACCACTAGTAGACCATCGTGAGCAACCAGATTCCTTTGATAACAATGATTCTGAAGCTGGATCAGGTTCTTCATATGATTCAGAAGACATAGAGGATGTCTTTGATGGTACTTTTGATGATGATGATTCTAGTGAAGAAGGTCGGTTGGAAAAGAAAAGATTACCAGAAATAGTTTTGAGTCTAGCATTCCTTATTATAAGCTTTGTATAATATTCATAAAAAAAATTATATGAATCACAATTTCTTCTTTTGTATGTGTATGTGTTTTTTGTACACAGGAGACAATAGTGGTAGAGGACTAGCCAGACGAAGTGCTGGTTGGGGTGGTGGAAAGAAATTGGAGTTAGTTTGGAATGCACGGGGCCAAGTAATTGGTCCTAATGCTACACAGTATATAAGTCAAGTAGGAATCTTAGTAAAGGATGGTAATAAATTACCACTCACGTACACAGATTGGAGGGCCATGCCTGAAGGATCTAAGGAGAGATTTTGGGAAGATATTAAGGTATTTTGACTCACTATCAAAGTTAGCAACATTTTTTTTCTTTTTATTTCATACAATCTTGTAGCTTGTGAATGTTTAAAATTTTGTTTTGTAATTTTTGATAGAGAAATACAAATATTGATGATACATGCAAGAAAGTACAAATGATAAGGGTCAGCAAATTGTGGAGAAATTGGAAATCAAAAGTCAAGAGCATGTATTTCACTCCTTATAGGAGGCACAGGTCATGGCTATTAGCACACTGTCCTGCAAGAGTTGAGGAGGATCAATGGCCTATTTTGGTTGATTATTGGAGCTCAGAAGATGTCAAGGCATGTATTTATTGTCACATCTCTTTTGCTTTTGAATTAAATTCTAGTGCTATTATGATTTTGATGTGTTGTTAACTACCTTTTTCTGTTTTGTACATAATTAGAAGCAAAGCAAGATTAATAGCAAGAATCGAAAAAAACAAAAGATGCCACATCGAACAGGGCGAAAAGATCATGTGAACCTCAGGGAAGAGGTATATTAAATTCTAATGCTTATGTTTCTAGCAATTTTTTCTGGAACATAGTCTTATTTAGAAATATTAACACTTTAGTTTGTACATTGAATATGTGGCAGCTTCGGATTAAAACTGGAAAAGAGCCTTCGAAACTAGACGTTTTTATTCATTCAAGACAAGGAAAACAAATGGATGAGTTGACTTCACAAACAATTGTAAGAATAGCTTTTAGTCACTTTTTATTGGTTTTACTTCATAAATAATTCTTTCTTCTGTCTGTTTTTCAATTTAGGCAACTATGAATGAGGAAATACAAAAACTGCCAGAGACATCCAGGGATGATAATTTTGTGAAAGATATACTCTATGAAAATATTCTTGGACCTGAAAAACCAGGTCGTCTTCGAACTTATGGGGTAGGTGCGACTCCAAAAGACGTGTATAGGATGTCAGATAACATGAATGATGGACAAAAGAAAGCATTTGACGATGCAGTGAATGAGAAAGTGGAAATCATACGTGGTGAACTACGAGAAGAAATGAATTCGAAATTGGCAGATTTTAAGGAGGAGTTGATTGCTCAATTTGAAGCAAGAATGGTTTGGGATAACTATTTTGTTAAATATTATAGTTTTTCTAATTTTTTTATTGCTTTAGTTACTATTGATCTTTGTTCTTCCAGAGGGCATCCACATGTGACTTGGCATCACTCCAAAGAAGAGAAATGAATGCAGCAAAACAATCTCAAATTTCGGACTCATTAGAGGTTGTATATTAATTCATACAATTCGATTTTGTGTTCAAACTCTCTGAAATATCAGCAGCTATGGCCTGATTTTCTTTTCTTCACACTTTGTTGATAATGTAACAGGTTGGTGATAGAATGAACAGGGAAGTTGGAACAAATGATGCTGAAATAAACAAGTGTGAAATGAATAAAAAAGTTTCTTCAATTGCTGATATTCTTGAGGTATAGTATGCGTACTTTGAGTTGGTCCTTCTATAGAAGACCAATTTTGCTAAGTTCCTTGTTGATATTGAATTGTGCATGACTTCCTTGTTGATGACTATTTGTGCATGAGCTGCTTGTTGATATTTAATTGACTAGTCTTTTGTTATACCAGAACCATCATACAAAGAAGAAAAGGAGCCGGACTACTTGCAAACGACTTGCTTGAGGTACTGGAAAAGTTTCTGGAAATAACTCTATTCTGTCAAGTTTTCCATTGAGTATTTGTATGATTGGGAAAACGAGCTGTTTTTGTTAAGATTTAGCCAGCTATTTATGGGACATAATGTAGTAGAAGTGGTCTTAATTTTCAGTGTCTGTGAAAAGGTTGAATTACAAATTCCGTTTCAGTATCTATTGTTATATTAACGTTTTCTTCATGCTTAATGGGTTGGGGTTATATGAGCAGGGGACTAATAGAATACACTTTGCAGCCCTAGACTTGATGGTACATTGGAAGCATGCGGATTGGGAGATATGAAGATGTTTTTGAGAGATGTATGATGAAGTGTTGTACTTTTCAAGACAAGCACATTTTGGAATATATGAAACATCTTGTAATTGGAGCGAACAATTGTAGAATTTGACTAAAACAATGTATGGTACTTTATTCTAGTGTATTGTGGAACTATATTTTGTTATAATATTCGATTTTAGGATATTTGAGCATGATAATTATTGTACCATGAAAAATTTGATTTCTGGTCTTTATATTGGTGACTTTTTTGCGACGCAAGTTTTTGTCGCATGACATTGTGGACATTTTGTAGCGCATTTTTTGTGCCGCAAGTAGAGTGATGCAAATGCATGCGACATGTTGAAAAATTGTGTCGTTTTCTTTTGTAACGGCTACTTTTGTGACACAATTTAATTCCGTCGCATTTGTGCCGCAAAAAGGTTTTCGCGGCGGTTTTTGGACTTTTTGCAGCATATTTCTGGCGTCGTGAAAAGTCAGTTTTCTTGTAGTATACTCTGGTGCTTGGGCTGTTGCAATCTAATACGTATATAGAAGAAACGCTTGAGAAAGCTACTACATTTCAGATGCCATCTTTGCTCAGATTGTTATTTGCTACTCTTCTGGTCTATTGTTCTCCAATTGATCCCACAATGTTATGGAAAAATTTTGAATTGGATTTCCCTAAAGACTATGAGTGGTATAAACAATATCATGATTACTCTCTTGTTAAAATTAGGGGATTGGTTCTAGCTAATATTAATAGATAGCTTCAGTAGATAGGTACAAGCATTACTACCTATCAGTTACCATCAAATAAGGCACACATAACAAAGGAGACAGAAGCTAAAAGAAACATAGACATACTATCAGAAGATCTACTAATGCCTTTGAAATTAAATTCCTAGCATAAATATGCTTATGACCTGATCCTACAAGCACGGTTCTCTTCACAAGGACATTTTTTTTTATTGATGGTCCTCTTCACAAGGACATTTCTATATCGGTCGCTGCTTGCTATTTTGAGATCACAAGGTCATATAGCCATTGCAGTGGCAACCTCTGGAATTGCAGCATCTATTCATCCTAGAGGAAGAACTGCACACTCAAGGTTTAAGATACCCCTTGATTTTTCAAAGAACAAAACCTGCCAACATAGTAAGCAAGACAGTGTTGCAAAGCTGCTCTTAGAGTCTAAACTAATCTTGTGGGATGAGGCTTCCATGGCTAAACAAGAAACTGTTGAGGCATTTGATGATTTACTTAGAGACATAATGGAATCTGATCTACCTTTTGGAGGCAAAGTTGTTGTAGACGCTACTTGTTATTGAGCAAGCGACAAAGGAAGTCCTTTTGCAGTCATGCTTTCTCAATTCTCCATTGCGGTCTAAGCTTCATAAATTGAAGTTGACAAAAGATATGTGGGCTATATTAGATCCTCAGTTTTTTAAATTCTTGTTAAGATTTGGCGAAGGAAATGAACCCGTGGACTTGAACGGTGAAATAATTTTGTCCAGAGATTTAGTCATTCCTTATTATGATAAAGAAGAATCTTTAAATAGGTTAAATGACTTAATATTGTCTTGTTTTAATTGTCTGCCCTTTAACGTATACAATTGCTAATTTAACTTCTTTATTAACAAGTTACTACATTGCATTTTTTTCATATTTAGCTCTCTATTCCCAAGATCCTTATAGTATGATCATAGATGTATTATTGCCCCTAAAAATAGTGTAGTTGATGAGCTCAATGATATAATGATTAGAAGGTTTCCTAGAAAGCATCACACTTACATTAACACAGACAAAATTGTTGATCAGCAGCACTAGGGTGATTATAAGAATTTCCTTAATTCTTAGAATCCAAAAGGTTTTCCTTCTCACAGGTTAATGTTAAAAGAAAATTGTCCAATTATACTGATGAGGAATCTATATCCTCTTGAAGGCCAGTGCAATGGCACAAGGTTCATATGTAAAGAGCTTGGCCAACACACTATTTCTGCTGAAATTGTCTTCGGCCAACATTGAGAAAGAGAGTTCTTATTCCAACGATACCCTTACAAACTGCTAACAATCCAAAGAATTCCATTGCATTCATAAGGACTCAGTTTCCTATTTGACTTTGTTTTGCATTGACCATTAATAAGTCTCAAGGACAGACTCTCGACTATGTTGGCATTTACTTAGGTGAGCCTATCCTTTCTCATGGACAGCTATATATGGCCTTGTCTAGAGCAAGAACTTCAAGTGAGCTGAAAATACTTATTGTACCAGGAACTTTTGTTGGTATAAAAGTAAACTGCAAAACTAGAAATGTTGTGTTCAATGAAAATTTTGAATTAAGCCATCAGTAGAATGTTCTTATATTTAGGTATACTTGCAGGAGTTTATCACTGTGTTTACTAATTGTTAAGGCGTTATCTATAGATAAGCTTGTACATTATGAACTTTTTTTCTTTTTTCATAGGATGTCTGACTTGTTGCCGATTGGGGGATATCATGCCTGATATGAAAAACTGGCCTTGTATTATCATAGTTCAATAGAAGCAATACGTCATCGAACCTATAGGAACACCAACCAAAAAACAAAAGTTTATCTTCTATGATTCAGAGGTTGCATTTTAGAACATGAAACGGTTATTAATTATTTGATCTTTTATTTGTTTGTGAATCATGTTGGTTATGTGTAAACCTTGTTTTGCTAATAGGGCTCTAAAGTTGAAGGGATAATCTTCAATGTTGACATAGTTTATAGAAAATATAAGATCTTGAATGCTGATGTTAGGCCTATTCTGCCAAAGTTTCAAACACTTGAATTAACCAAATAGTGGGTTCTCACCACTAAAACTGTCATTCAAGAGATTAATGACAATGAAGACATTATGCCAGCTAAATTTGGTTTGACTAAGTTTGCTGAATACTGATTTAGCTGAATACATGAATGACAGAAGCAAGTCTGTTAGTGAGTATCTAAATAGTCTATCATTCTTGTTTTTATCACCAATCATTGTTTTCTCAAATTGCCTTCTTCCTCTTCACTGATGTGCCCGGAGTGGTGATCAGTTCATTATCCAAGAAAATGATCACTAGAAACTCTAAATAGTCAAATGTTCAAAAATTTGTCCTCCTTAATGAAGAATATGCAATCTCCTTTTATAATGCTGCACATTTTTTTACTAGCCTTACCTCCTTCTATGTCAATATTAGGTTCCAAAAAATCTTGCTAACTTTATGGGATGATTTTCTAAGCAATAAAGGTCAAGTTTGTTGAATAACATACAAAGCTATCCCGTTATCATTGGTCGAAGGTTGAAAGTTAGCAACTACAATGGTCTGTTGAAATGCTGTCTTTTTTGTATTATAACCTTTATTTGTATATCAAACTTGTCAGTCATAACTCAAGTTTTATGCTATTGTTTATTCTACAGGTGTTGCGCTCTTTACTTGGTTCAATTCTGCACTTCTTGTTGATCCGCGTATCACGAAGCAAGAGAACTCAAGAATTAGTACAATGACTCTAACTAACATTTTTTAATGCAACACAATATCAACTGTATCATTTTCCCCCTTATTTTCTTATTTCATTATTCTTTTTGTAGGGCAATGAGAAATACTAAGTTGATTGCAGAAATCATTGATGCAAGAGTTACATTAATTACAATCCTGCACTTTAAGAACAGACCAGAAAACTACTCTAATTTGCAATGTTACACCGTCACAGAAGTTGATGAAGTAATAAACTGTTATGTAATCTTATAACTTTTTCATGTATGTTTAGCCTTTCATCTAATATTTGTGTATCTTTTAGACTACCTGGGTCAAAGCAAGGCAAAATGTTGGTAATGAGTTGCGCAAAATGTTACCAAGCTACTGCAGCAGACTATGGAATTGAGCTTACTTGTAATTCAAGTAAAGAGAAAGGCCTTGCTATGCCTATGTCCTATATCACTAAATGATCAACTTTAAATTTACTACTGAATTGTTCTTAATCTCAATGTCATAGAACATATCACCTAAGGACCTATATGCTTATCTTTTCTGGTGCTGTTTTAACATTAATTCGAGTGATGACAGTGGAGTTATACTAGCTTCCATCTTTGGAGACCTGAGAGAAAAAATTCTCACCTTCACTGCCCTCGAAGCAATGGATCATTTAATCAGGTTATTTTAACTGATCAAATTTGATAATAAATATACTGTTTACTTGTCACCTCTCATATCCTATATGTTTCTTACAGAATCTTGAACTTCCACTTGAGTTTGTTCATACTTAGCTTCAAACAAAGACTTTTCTAGTTTATATTAAACCAGTCCAGACGCAGCTGGTTGATGCCAGGCAGCATTATATGATTTTATATTGTTCTAAACTTGAACCAGAATTTGGTCCTGCTCAGTTAACAGGTCAAGCAAAAGTTGTCTATCTTTCAACTATCCAGGAAACTGAAAATAAGCAGCTGCTGACCATAGGTTGATGAATATACCTGAAGTTCTAATATATGACTATGTTTTTCTTGGAATTAACTGTTAACTTAACTAAGACTTGTGCCTACAGGAGAGGGCATTTCTGGCTCAATAGTGCGTGTTCACCTTACTCAAAAGTTTGATGAAATGAAAACTCTCGACAGCGATGTCTTTGAAAGTTTAGATGACAACGCCAAAAAGAAAGCAAAATTAGGCTAAATTGCCTACATCTTTTGGACCACTCAAACATTAAT